TGTCGTGTACACTAGAATGTAGTATTGTTCTATTTCTGTAAAATGATGGAATGAGTGTTGGAATCATGGCAGCCTGACATCAGTTTTGACTTTGTGGCTGGACTATGAAATACAGCATTAAAAGAAGGAAGGTTTTGGCCATGAACTTGGAAAAAGTCAAGACATTTTGAATTAATGCTGTTTTAAAAAAATATCTTGGCCGTTTTGTGCTTTGCAATGTAAAAACTTTGGATTCTCTCCTCAAACTAATGTTTGAGGCTTAATTTTGTTAGACCTTATTATAAGTAACTTTCACCAGCACTGTTTTCCGTTCTTTTACTGTAACGGGTCCAGCATAGATTTGTCTTAAAATATAGAATGATTATATAAAAATTGATACTTCCTACCTAACAACTTTTATGTAAGGTGTGTATTGATAATGTACCTTTCCTAGTACTTAACATGTTCAAAAGCTTCAAAGGGGTAGCTGAGTTAATCTGTAACTGTAACCAACCAAACAATGGGTACTTAAGCACAATTTGCACCTTCTCTATCAGCTTCATGTAACATGAACACTCTAATTCACTATTTTCCCCCCTTCCTTCTCCTGCCCTAATCCCCTATTTATTTTGGAACTGGACTTTGAATACTCCATTCATCTGAAGAAATGGGTTGTACCCACGAAAGCTCATGATACCATCTGCATGTTTTGTTAGTCTTTAAGGTGCTGTTTAGATTATTTGTTGTTTGTTTTTCCTAGTATTGTGAAGTGTTGTATATCTGATTATGCCTTTTGGTTCTTATAGAAAATGTTCCAGAGGAATTGCGAGAACCATTTTACACAGATCAGTATGACCAGGAACACATTAAGCCACCTGTTGTTAACTTGCTGCTATCTGCTGAACTCTATTGTCGTGCTGGAAGTCTTATTCTCAAGAGTGATGCTGCAAAACCACTTGTGGGTCATGATGCAGTTATCCAGGCCTTGGCACAGAAAGGTCTTTATGTCACTGACCAAGAGAAGTTAGTAACTGAAAGAGATCTGCACAAGAAACCCATTCAGATGGTGAGTGTGGCTTTTGTATACTTTGTCTTTGTGCATCTAATAGCTGTGCAATTATTTATTTGTGTTTGTCTTAAGTCTCATCATTATTTTAATTTCAAGAACTAGATTCAGTTAACTTATGAGAGGGTTATTAACTTATATGTCTTTCCTTGCCTCTCCCTTTCAAAATGGGGAGTTGAGGAACATTTCAAAATTTAGAAGCCTTATCTTTGAAAGTTTCTTTCAGACACGAAAGAAAATATATTTTCCCCCAACAATGGATGTGTCATCTTTGTTTCTGTTCTTTTTCCCAGTGTCTGTGTTCATCCCTTTTCCGCTCTATCCACCTATTCTCTTCACCTTCTATAGAACAGCTCATAATTTTTTGATTGTGAGGGAACACTTTGCAGTTCTGTAAATTCGTGTTTTTATAGACATACTAACTTTATTAACATGGTTAGCTGTAATTTTTCATTCAGTAAAATACTGAAATACAGTTTGATGCAGCTTAAAGTGCCAAATTGTCTTTAAAGGTGGAGGGTGAAATCTTGTGTCAATTCAAGTTAGTGACAATTTTGCCATTTGACTTCACTAGGTCAAAATGCCATCCAGAGTGGCTTATTCGCTGAATGCTACAAAAGGTTTGTCCAGCTTAACTTCTGGCCTTTGTCTGTCTTGATCATTTCTGAAATAAGGGAAATACGGTGACAATGTAAATGTTACCATTAGTCTGTCAAACTCCTCTGAATTTTGTGTACCCTAGGACTACTTCTTATAAGCTTGTCCCAGTATTGCTCATACTTTCTAATGCAGTATTTTATGGGAGTGTTCCAGCAGCATAGCATAACAGACTCCTCAGGAATATTTGTAATTGATTGGAGGACTGTGGGAAAATGTGACTATAGATGATTTCTGTGTTACAGTTAATGTTTAGGGATGTTGAGTGACAGCTGAGGTAATGATGCATAAGAGCTGCAATTTTAAATAATTTTTTGAAGGAAGAGACAAAGTTGGTGTGTTTTGTACCTGTTCACTGTAGGTATTTTACTCTTGTGTATGTATGTATGAAAGCAAATACTATCTTTTTTGCAAGTCTTCAACTGCTAGCACCTTCAAGGGCAAAGCTAAGAGTTTGGATTAAATCCATGAAATTCACCTTGATAAGTTTTGTTAACCTACCCTGGACAAATGAAATTTCCCTCCGTTTTTCTTATGTCATACTTTTTAAACCTTTGGACCCATTTTAAAATGGAAATTCTCAATGCCTGAACAGAATGTCATAGCCCAATATAACAACACACAGTATTCCTATGAGTTACTTAAATCTGTGTAAAACATTCCAGTTAAGAAAACCATGGTAAAACTGTTAAAACAGATTGTCAATATTAGTTCTGTACCTAATATGAACTACAGTACTAATTAAAGCTAGGGTCACCAGAGGCTTTTGGTTCCAACAGTTACTATACTCTGAAAACACAGCTTTTTAAAAATTTGATTTGTGAGATTTGTTTGTGCACTAGGGATGTTAAATATCTGTTAATTGAATAGTCAGGAACCTCATGAACTCTTACTGGTTACTCAACTATTGTATAGTCCCCAAGGTTGGTGCTGGCAGCTAGCATGATCTGGTCCCACTCCTGAGGAACCCCCTGCCACTCTGTGCTGCTGTTTCTGAGTCAGAGGCAGCAGTATGGGATACCAGACAGGAGTTGGTCTTCTTGGCAGTTGAAAAACCAGCTCCCTTCATGGACTGGCTGCCTGTCACCCTGCACTGTTGCCTCTGATACAGAGGCAGTCGCGTGGGTTGGCAGCAGCCACCGTCCAGTGTGGGTCTGAGTTCCCGGCGCAAGCCGGAACTGAGCTAGGATGCCTGCCCACCCAGCTCCTAATACACTTCAAATGCAGAGCCGCAGCAGGGTTAGATCCCAGACCCAGCACAAGCGAGGACTAAGCTGGGCTGCTGTCCAGCATGCTAGAAAATTTACTGGCAGTGGGGATGGGGGGAGGGAATGCGTGTAGTCTATAACATTAACCAATAAGCTTTTGCTTGTCGGTTGATTGGTTAATTAACTATACTATTACATCCCTAATGTGCACACTCACGAGAGAATGGATACATTCAGATAATAAAACCTTATTCTCTCACAGGGTCGGTTTATGTTTGACTGAGAAAGGGGTTGCTGTTGGCTGGTTATGCAACGTATTAAAAATACAGTAACAAAAGATGAAGCATGTTGGTCTGTTCACTAGGGATGTTAAATTTAGATTAATTAACTAATCGAATAGTTGTTGGGATTTCCTTTGACTATTCAGTTACTCTCTAAGGGTGCGTCCGCCTTTGAACTGAAGCAAGAGCCTGCCTGGTTCAAAAGCAGAAGCCCCGCAGGGAGCAGGGGACCAGTGGGGGACCCCTCTGGCCCCACGCTCCCTGTGGCACCTTAGCCTTTGAAATGCACAAGAGCACCAGCAGAGTTCTTGTACATTTCAAAAGCAGAAGTGAACGTGGGACCAGTGGATGACTCTCCCACTGGCCCCATGCTCCCTGCATAACTTAAATGAATTGCATTCCCTTCAGATGCACCAGCACCTCTTTTCCTGGGGCAGTGGGGCTCCCAATGCAAGTCCGCTCAGGACGGGCCACAATGATATTTTGGCCCCCAGCGTGGCTTTTTTTTCTTTTTTCTTTGCTCAACAACTTCCCCCCCGAACTACTGGCACCTTTTTTCTTACAAAAAAAGCACTGCTTACAGTGCAGTAAAATACCAGTGTAAACAGGGTCCCAGTGCTATTAGCTGCTCCCTTTGCGGAGCTGGTTTAAATAAAGCACTGAGAGAGCTCTCCCAGCACGCCTGCTGTGGCAACACTTTCACTTTAAAGTGCATACAGGGCAGTGTTTCAATTTTAGAAGCATAGACAAAACCTTACTTTATTTGTATTCTCGTCACGGCCAGATGCCCCAATCAGTGTGCTCAGTGCTCTAGAAATGAGTAGACACAATCCCTGAGAAGTTTACAGTAAGAGTGAGAGAGCTTACTTGTAGCATTTTGGATGCCCTAAATTAAATCTGGCCCTAATGAAATCCATTGCAAAACTCCCCTGGACTTGATTGGAATTAGGATTTCGCCCCCCGCCCTGAAATCTAGTGATGGTAAGAGATATCTTGTGGGTTGGTTCCGTTTCTCTCCTTCTACTTAGAAAGCAATTTGTCTATCAGGAATCTTATCTTTTATTTTTCAAAATTCCTGTGTCTAGCTGCATAATGGGGGGAATGACTAGATCAATATCCTCATACCAGGAATAGGAATTAGGATAGCCTAATAATAGGAAGATAGGAAACCATTTTAGAAAAACCTTACTAAAGGGTGCTATAGTTCTTGATGTAAAATAGTTTTGTAAAGAAATACTGAGCTTCTCTCCATATAATATGAAAAGAAGCAACTCGACCAACAGTATTCCTAATACAGGTTTCACCTCCCTAAGCCAGGACTCTCTTGTCCAGCTACATCTGTCAGGACTATGGATGTTACTGATCGAGAGTCACGGGGCAGGAGGGCCAGCAGCTAAAACCCCTGGGCAAGGCTGGTGGTAGTGGGGCCAGACATCAGCAGCCTGGCGGCATTAGTGGGGCCGTGGTAGCAGGGCAAGGAGAGCCTAGCAACCCAGCTGGGGCTGGTGCCGCCCGTGCGTGCTGACCCTGAAGTGGGGTTGTGCTGCAGTAACCTGATGGGGGCCCGGCAATAATGACAGAGCCGTGGCAGCCTGGCTGTGGCAGCCCCACAGGGGAAGCCCATTTGGGGCTGTGGCATTGGAGTCAGGGCTGTGGCAACTCAGCTGGGGACGTGGCAGGTCGGCAGCTCGATCGGTGCCATGTGTCGGCCAGCAGTGGGACTGATGCCCCAGCAGCGGGCCCAAGGGTGCCTGTTGCCATGCTGGTTGCCACGGTGGCTGGAGCAGCGGGTATGGCAGCAGGGCTGGGGCCGCTGTGTAGCCCAGCCAGCAGCGGGCTGAAGGAGCCAGAGGTGGGAAGCGGTAGCAGGCTGAGGGGCCTGGTAGCAGGGGACCTTCTCTGGTCTGGCAAATTCCCTTATCTGGGACTGCTCAGGTCCCCAGGATGCCGGACCAGGAAGATCCAACCTGTACCACTTGAAGTATTGTATACACTATTTGAGATATTTTGGCTGACAGCTTTGTAATTTGCATCACTATTCAGAAAAAATAAAAAGCCTGGAAACTTTTAAGGTGTGCAAACAAGTCTAACTGTGTAAGGTACAATATTAATAACAGCAAGATTAAGACAAATCAGCAGAAGATGGTGAAATTGAAGATGAATGAGCAGTAAGAATCATATAAATGGAAAAAATGTTTTGAATTGTTGCATTAGCAGTATATAGGGAATTTTCTATATTGTTTTCAAGCTTGTTACCCTTATAGTAGAGCAGTGTTTCTCAATGTGTTTCACAGGCCTACTTTGGTAAATGGCAAACAGGAGCCAATGGGAGTCACAAGGCTCCGTAGTTACGGAGCCTATAGGTAAACTAAGCATTGCAGGCTTGCTAGTGGCTTTCCCAGAGTTGGCCCACAGCCCACTATGGCTGGCTGACTGGTAAAGAAGCAAATGAAGGCTGAAAAAATTCACAGTTTGAAGTAGGGAACCATGTACAACCTGTTGATGTACAGCTGCATGAGCTTAAAATGTTATAAACCTTTTCAGACCAGATGCAAAATCTTCTCTTTTGTCTTTTACCAGGACGATGATGATAGTGAATAGGGACATAAAATTCTATTTAATCAGTTAACAAGTTAAACAGGGGTGGCTGCTCTGGCCAGGTTGGAGTACCACTACCTGTGGCATGCAGCTCCAATGGGGCTGGGCCTGCCACCAACAAAGGGTCCTCTGGATGGCCGGAGCAGCCTCTGCCTGCAGGACACCCAGGCCTGCTGTAAACAGAGGCTGCTCCAGACAGCTGGAGTGGTCCCATGGGGCTGCTCCAGACAGTTTAAATGTGGTCCCATGGGGCTGG